CTCACACCCCCCACTCTCACCCAACTCACCCTCTCCCTCACACCCCCCACTCTCACCCAACTCACCCTCTCCCTCACACCCCCCACTCTCACCCAACTCACCCTCTCCCTCACACCCCCACTCTCACCCAACTCACCCTCTCCCTCACACCCCCCACACGTCTTTTGGCAGAAGTTCTTTGCTCCTGGCATCTTGCTGCAGAATCCGGCGTAGGTTGCAGCGTAGATTCTGCAGTTGGCTATGACGTCTTCGCTTCCCGCATCTGAAAGACAAAACAAAACAAACTTAGAGAAGAAAACCCCCCCCAAAAAAAACAAACAACCAAAAACAACCAAACAAACCAAAAGAAAAAAGAAAACCCGCCAGAAGATAGGCTATTGGGTCAGGGAGTGGGTGGTTGGTGGGTGCTCGGGTGTAATCTGCTCATTCTTTCCCTGTAAAACTTCTAGATCTATCGTCCTTACCTCTCCCTCCTTCTTTTTTGTGTATGTTACTCTCTTGTAACACCTCTAATCCTCGGCACTTATATGACCTTATTGTTTTACAAATGCCGTAAAACACTTACCTCTCTAGCCTCTAGACTGGCCTGTCAGTGACTGAGTCCACCCAATAATCGGTCGCTTTTAAGCACCAGGGGGCTATCCCGAAAAATGCTGTTTTGAGAAAATCGACGGTAAAGTTTTTGCCCCTTGTTCAGTTTCTTTAATTAAAAGACAAAGACAGTTTTCTTTATAACCAAACAAATATACACACCAGTGAAATCAAACTTCTCCTAGGTAGGGCAATGTCCTCTCTTGGTGTAGGTCAAGATTTCTGGAAACCTCCAAAATCTGGGTTAGCCCGCTTGTCCTTAAAAGCGACCAATTATCTACAGTGGAGTCCGACTAAAGTGAACACGATTTATTTGACCAATCCATTAAAGTGAACGATATTCTGTTTTCCCAATTAAAACTCTATTTGTTTACGTTTTTAAAAAGTGAATAAAATGAACCGGTTTCATGGGGAAATCGGATTAAGTGAACTCCCAAAATGAGAGAAAGCGAAGAACGGACCGACTGCGTCACTGTCGCCAGACTGTGAAAATAAAAATCTTTGCCTCGGGCATCGGCAGACAATCCCAGCTCCCCGTTGGTGACGGCAATCTCAATCAGAAAGAAAGAGCTCTAGTCTAGGCTCGCCCGCTGTGTTGTCCCCCCACCTCCACCCTAGACCCACCACTGCCCGTAGCTACTATTTCTAGGCCTCCATCCTACCGACAAAATGGTTAAACTGAACCTCGGATAAAGTGAACTCTTTTTTCTGGTCCCAAAGAGTTCACTTTAAGCGTACTCCATTGTACTCATCATCTTACACGTGGCTCTACTACCGTGTTGTGCGTGTTTTACTACAGTGTTGTGAGTGGGTCCACGTACCGGCACATGTCGCGGGGACCTTAGTCCAGCCAGTCTCCGTACAGATGGTGGTGTAGTTGACGGAGCCACACGAGTAGTGGACACGGTCACCGATGTTGTTAGTGGACCACACCACGTCATGGGCCTTGCCGTCCTCGGGGCCTTTGGGCCACCCGCACTTGGCCGCTGGGGGGTG